CATGGCAGGGTCCTGACAGTGCCAGGTAGCAACCACTTGAATCTGGCAAAACTTCTTAGTATAAGATGTGAGGCGGAGAACAAAGTGACATTCAAGAGGTCTCCAACATAAAACTATTATCAACAGCCCAGATATAATTTTTTTTTTTTTTCCGGCCACACCATGAGGCATGCAGGATCTTAGTTCTGGACCAAGGATCAAACCTACACCAGTTACATTAGAAGCATGGAGTCTTAACCACTGGACCACCAGGGAAGTCCCTGCTCAGACATAATTTTTTAAAAAATTATGCCATTCATTCATAAATGTACCCAACAAACATTTATTAAGCATTAACCACATCTCAATGACTATGTTAAGTCCAAGGGGTAGAGTAGTTTGTCTATTATAAGTGCTTTGCTCTCTTGGAACTTGCAGTCTATTGGCGGGAATCAAGGATTCAACAAATTATTACAAAAATTACTGAATTACAATTGTGATAACTGTCATGAAGCATAGGATGATAAACTATCTAGTAATGAGAATCAAGGAAGGCTTCCTGGAGGAAGTGGCATTTAAGCTAAAACCTGCAGAGGAGGAGGTGAAGAAAACAAAGTGTGGGAGTGTAACTAGGAAGAGAGCAACTGGAAAGCAAGTTGCAGGCAGAAAGAAGAAATGTGAACAAATACCCTATGGCAGAAAAACTTAAACTATCCCGAGTAAAAAGAAAAATCCAGTGGGACTGGAGTGGATGAGTGAAGGGGGAGACATGGGGGTAAATTGATGAGTGAGCAGGAACCATATCACGTCTGGCCTGACAGGTCAGAAAAAGATCTCGATTGTATCCTAAAGTCAATGGGAATCTACTGAGGGATATTGCACAGGGGAACACTTAGGATCAGATTTTTTTTTTTAAACATAAATCAATGTATGCTTGTACATACAAGCAGCAGAAGCTCGTAAATATCACACAGCAGGTATTTAAAAAGAGCACAGTCTGTAATCAGTACATAATCCTACAAATATAAACAGGAGTGTTGGGGTGAGGGTGGTGGCCTGAGCCTGGAGTCTGGGAAGCCTTGCAGAGTTAAACTTTTTGTTTGTTTTGGAGGACTGGTTGTTCAGTTGATTTGACGCCAGGTTTGCATTTGGGTAAGCCAGGATGAAATCCCCATTGAAAACTCTTTCCCTGCTTCAGAAGCTTCAAAAGAAAATTTCTCCTCAAATTTCCACTAAGACTAACCTCGTCGGTGGGCGGTGGTAGGGACCACCTACAGGGTGTGATCTGAAAGGTGCTAAAACACCACTCCTGTTCAGTGTAAACTTTCTCTGCCCCACATTAGTGTTGGAAATTCTACCATCACCATTTGATTCTGAAGAATTTTTAATTGTTAAATATAGTAGCACTGGATCTGTTCTGACTTCCTGATATGGAGTGTTCTCAGGGATGGGAGAATCTGAAGCTTTTTGAGATGACTGGCCACACAGGAATAGGGAGGGGCCATGAGATGGGGTAGGTTACAGGAGGCATCCATAATATTGCATATGTATCTTTACAAACACGTATGTAAACATACACGGTGTACTTAGGGCAAATACATAACTTTATAACACGGGGAACGATAATGATAAGGAACCTAGGCCCTGGAATTAGGCCAACCTAGATCACAACCTCTGTGACTCTGGGAAAGTTGTAGCATTCGCCTTGTAGGGTGGTTGGCAGGAAAGGGAGATAGTCTGTTCAAAGACTTAGCACTGCTCTGGGGCATAAATGTTACATTACTTGTCCTTGTGCACACGTGTGTGCCAGTGTGTGCCAGTGTGTGAAGGTGCAGATGTGGGTATGTAAGAGAGAGAGGATGTCCAAGAACAGGAGAGGGGAGCAGGTAGAGTTCCCACAGGAGTGGCCCCCTCTGCAGGGTGAAAGGACAGGGGCCACTCACAGAGGAGGTAGATCAGCTTTATCAAGCGGGGAAACCAAAAGGTCCCAAATGGCAAGGGGCGTCCTGATAAGCACAAAATCTAAAGGGAAATAAATTGAAGGTAATAGAGTGAGGTGTGGTAGTGTTGAAGCTCAAAACACCCTCCATAAAAGGAAGAGGAAAAAAAAAAGAATTGAAAGTGATCTCTGAAATTGACATGGATCCAAACTAGGGCTCTGCACTTGAGGGGGACATATGACTTCATCTGCTCCATCCCTAAGATCTCTCCTGTTTTGAACTTCATGCATGCTTGCTTTTTCAGAACTGACACGGAAGAACTTTTAAAAACAAACAAATCACCACAATCTGTTTGCTTTCTGCCTGATAAGGAATTGTCAGCCTTATATCTGAGAGAGAAGACACAGTAAAAGGAGAACACCCACTATCTAGTCCCAGCTCTGCCCCTAACTCACTGGGCAGCTTCAAGGAATCTCCCAACTTCAACAATCTCTCAGCAGCCTCATCTGCCAAAGAATTTGATTGGTCACTTCATTCATTATCTTTTGACTTTCTGCTGTCTTAGATGAGGTCCAGCTCACCTCAACCATCTCTCCCCCTCTTAAAGTTGTATCACCACAGGACATGATAATGAAGGTCACAGATCACCTGCCTCTTGCTCACTGTGTCTCCTGGGATGACTTATTTAATGTCTCAGGTCTCTCTTTCCTTCTTCATAAAATGAGGGTAAGAGGCCATTGTATCGTGGGGTTGATAGAAGGATTAAGTGAGTTCATGAAGATAAAATATTTACAACAATGCTTGGCACAGATAAGAGCTACACTACTCTGTTGTTAGGTATTAATGATAAGATTATTATTATTTACTTTATTGGATAACTTTGTAGTGTAGTGCTAAAGTGTTAAATGAAATATATTATTGATAAATCAAGAAATAGAAGTATAAGCATTATTTGGGGCTATAAAAGGCTCCAGTGGGCAGGTAAGGGAAGCTGGAATATTATGTTTTCTTTTTACCTTTGTAAATTTATTATTATTATTTGGCCCATGCTACATAGCTTGGTGACTTGTGGGATTTTAGCTTCCCGACCAGGGGCCAAACCTAGCCCTTGGCAGAGAAAGTTCAGAATTCCGACCACTAGACCACCAGGTAATTTCTACTTTTCTTTTTTTTAAAAGTCCTCCTGTGCTTTGATTTTTCAAGGATGTGTCTGGACTACCACAACACTGTTGTTTTGTTTTGTTTTGTTTTTTTAATTTCATAAGATTGAGCAAATGGATCGCTCAAGTCCATCTCAAATCTCACAGTTCAAGGACTGACTGATTTTATAGGGCAGTACTTTTTAGGTGACCGGTTTATCTTTGTGTTCACAGCTACCTTAATATGTTTGAACTTTTCAGGAAATCCTCATAAAGGTTTGAAATAAACACAATCACCTTGGCATGTTCATTAACTTGAGTGTGTTTTAATTTCCAGGAAAGGACAGAAAATGAGGAAGGGGAAATATAAACTTTGTAAATATTTAACCTTAGAGTAAATTGACCTGTATTTTGCCCCCTAGTAATCTTTTCCCTGAAATCGACTCCCACAAAGGAAGGATCCGTAGCAGAGTATGAAAGCGCAAAGAACAGAACGGCGGTGAAAGCGTTAACTGGGCTGGGTAAGGCGATCCCTGAAATGGGTTAAGACTCGAGTTAAAGTTTTCAAAGCGGCGGCAGCAGCAGCAGCTCCAGGGGAAACGGAAGCCGGTGGAGGGAGCCTGGCGGAGCATCGAGGGGGACCGTGCTGAGCTGAACTCAGCTCCGGGTGACAAGCTCAAGGTTAGTGGCCCCCCGCACACCTCCACGTGCTGACATCTCTGGAGCTGTCTCGGGAGGCCGGGCGCCTTCTCTCAGCCCGGCTTGTCCTGTCTGCCTGTCTCCACCAGTGCGGCCACCGGCTTGTGCCAACCCTCCCGCAACGCGTTCCCTTAAGCCCTGGAGCTGAGAGGGACTGGGACCTGTTCCCAAGCCACTCTCCTTAAGAGGGGACTTCTCAGACATCCACAAGGAAACTGTTTCTGGAACAAGGATGATTTTCAGGATACACACACACAGAGGTACACACACACACACACCTGTATACGCTGCCCCATCTTGGTTCTTGCAGGTTGTGACCACAATCCCAAATTCCTCTCTGCTTCAATGGAAACTGAGAACAGTTGTCAAAGTAACAAAACAGGCTGTGCAACTTTATCCTATGGGAGGGATAGTGTCTCTGAGGCTAAGATAATCAAGGTAAGAAGAGGGGGAAAAAAGGAACGAAAAGAAAGAAAAAAACTTTCAAGCTCCACAGCCTGGAGATGAGGCAAAAGAATTTTTGAAAATTAGGTTCTCGTAGAAATTGTACATTGCTAGAACAAAATAAAGGGGGAAGATGTACTGTGAAGGACAGAATTCTACAACTACGGGAGATTCCCATACACTTATGTAAACAGCTTGTTATCAGTGCGATGCAGATAACAGATACATTTAAAGAAAGGAAAGAGAAAATAGCTTCAGAGAAGTTGCATCCTGAGGGGCCTTTCTTTTTTTTTTTTTTTTCATTTATTTTTATTAGTTGGAGGCTAATTACTTTACAATATTGTAGTGGTTTTTGCCATACATTGACATGAATCAGACGGACTACTGGAAGGCTTCATCCTTGGAGCCCCGGGTCAGTTCTGTCTCCCCCCTCCCGCCTTGCTCACGGAGAGGCAATGAGTAAGTTAGTCCGGCAAGCAGTCAGAAGCTGTATTGGCTGCTCCCTCGCATCCTCCAGCAGGCAGGAGTCGAGGTCTCTACCTGCTAGCACTGAATCAGAATGAGTCATCTCAAACTTGGGTGCGGAAACAAAGTCCCTGCGAACCGCCTTATGAGGCTCTGCCTCCTGTAGGTGGGATATACCTCTGAAGGCAGTCACAGTTTTTTCCCTCTTCCTTTCTCCTTCAGACAAGCGGGCATCCTGACGCTCTCAAGAAGCCCTGTCTCTGCCCCACTGGCTCAGCTGACCCGACCATGTGGACTCTGCCCCTCCAGGTCAGGACTGGAGTTTTAAAATAAAATGGATGACGTGACGTTACTTGATCTTCTGGAGTGCCCCGTGTGCCTTGAAAAGCTCGATGTCACCGCCAAAGTTCTCCCTTGCCAGCACACCTTCTGCAAGCCATGTCTCCAGAGGATTTTCAAGGCCCACAAGGAGCTGAGGTGCCCCGAGTGCAGGACCCTGGTGTTCTGCAGCATCGAGGCGCTGCCGGCCAACCTGCTGCTCGTGCGCCTTCTGGACGGCGTGCGGGCCGGACAGGCCTCGGGGAGAGGAGGGTCCTTCCGCCGGCCCGGCGTGCTGACCCCGCAGGACGGCAGGAGGAGCAGGACTCACCCCAGAGGTCCGCAGTGCAGTCCTTTCCGGCTGATGCCTAACGTCAGAATCCACATGGATGGGGTAAGAAAGATCTCATCTGTTCCTTCGTGTTTCCTTGGAGGTTGGGTGTATGTGCGCCAGCAGTTGGGGCTTCTCTTCTTTTAGCTCGGTTTCAAAGGGCCGCTGCCGAGGATTCCCTGAGGATAAATTTCTGTGGGTGGTTTGTTGTACGGAGACTCAGTGGAACCATGAGCCTATCCAGTCCAATCAGGAGCTCTTAAAATTCTTCAAGCTACCCAGGTCTTCCCTGCTTCTAGTCCAGAAGGTGGTAGAACATGGAAAGCCTTCTTGATTGTTTATTTATGCATGTGTTTATTTTTACTGCACTGGGTCTTCCTTGCGGTGTGCAGGCTTCTCGCTGCAGCGGCTTCTCTTGCTTGGAAGCACGGCTATAGAGCCTGTGCTCAGCAATTGTGGTGCACAGCCTAGTTATTACTGACATGTGGGATCTTCAAGGACCAGGGATCGAACCCATGTCCCCTGAATTGGCAGGTGGATTCTTAATCACTGGACCCAGGAAGTCCTTTGATTATATTCTTGGTCTTTCATTTCTGCTGTTCTTAGGCTAAACCAGGGCATGGGAAATGCACAGAAGATGAGAAAAAGAAAACCAAATCCAACTGCTTGTCACTTTTGAGATCTCAGAGAAGTTACTAAGTGTCAGATTTTGTTTGCATTTTACCCAAATCCATCCTTCCACTCCCAGTCATAAAGTGCCATGATGACAACACTCATTCACAATCACTCAAAGTTATCAAGACACTGGATACACAAAGTTCGATCGGGAAAGAAGCACGTATGTGGGTGTAGTGATTGACAGGAAAGGCTGGGCTGTGAAGAACAACCGACATGTACAGGAGACCTGAAGATGTGTCTTACTTTACAAAATGAATAAAGCATACAGAAAATGCACATCAGAGCCTGCCATGAAAAATGAAGCGCCCCAGGTGAGCCACAGGATATCACCCAGTAATGCATTTTGTGTTTGGACAATGTGAATCGTCCTGTCCAGCCTTGTGGGCACATCCTTGGGACTTTATGTGACCTGCCTGTGAGCCTCATTCTGGGAAGCTGGGGAAGGGGATAACTCGAGAGAAGATCATGGTCTTGGGCTCCAGGAAGATTAGTGGCTGTCACCCCCAGAGTCAGTATGTCCAAGTGGGCATGGCATGCCGTGGCCTGGGTGGTTGGCATACTCAGAAATTCTGTGAAGTGCCACATAAAGCAAGCTTTAACCCTGGCAGCTAACCACAACTTTAACCATGACTCCCCACTGTGAAGAGTAGCAGAGGGTGGGAGGGTCTTCCCCGGACTCCTTCCCATTGAAGGAGAATAGGCTCGGGTGTGCATTCAGGATAAGTTTCTCAAATACTCTTCTCAACAGCCTATTACTTCTTGGGTTCCCTGCACCCTTAAGCCCCCCATGCAGCAGGGTAGTGTGGAAACTTTCCAAAAGGAGAGCAGGAAGAAACCGGGCATCAGTGTGATTTCTTCACAGCAGACTTTTTATTGCCATTGTGCCTGTGTGTGAGAACACATTCCACAAAAGGGCTTGGCGCCCTCCGTTCAGGCTCCTTATTAGCCCTAGGTCTAGCCATCAATCAGAATCCACAGGCTTGGAAAAGGAGGGGTAGGGAAACCAGCTTTCTCAGGCAGGCTGTGTTTACAGAGCATCAGGCTGTATCTCGGGTCAGCAGATCTCCCTTTGAATTCCTAAGACCCAGCAACCTCTCTCCTCCCTCACCCTGCAAAGTCTGACTTGCCTCCCCGCAGGGCTGAGTATCATCCATCACTCAGAGAGTGTTGGGAGACTGGGAGGAGGCAAGTCCTCTATCACCTTCGCATATTTTTGTTCATGCTTTCATCTTTTTGATGTGGCTATGTTGCTAAGAAAAGGTAGCAACAGATGGATCCACAGCTACCTACTTTTTGAACCACAGAGAATTCCCAGGTCCCTCCTGGCATGCAGAGCTATAGGAACTAGAGCTCTTACTCTCTTATAGGAATAAGAGACAGCCAGTAAGATCCTGTGTGTCCCTAGAAGTCTTTCACCAGGACCCGTCACTACAGACCGAGGGGCTGGTGACGGGGTTGTGCCCATTCTCCGAGCTGCACTGGAGTCCTGCCATGAGGCTGAAACAAACCAAGCCATTGAGGGCCCCTGCTTTCCAGCAGCACCTGGTTTAGTGAAGATGCTCTATGAGAGGGCAGAGGCAGGGGCCACTCCACACCCTCACCCATTTCCTCCCTTTCCTGAGCCCACCCTTCTCCGTGTGGCTCATCACATCCCTTTTGACTCTGTCAGTGGGGATGTGAACAAACTATTCCTGGATGTAAATACAGCTATAATTCTGCATCCTGTTCTACTCCCCCCAATCTAGCTGCCTTTCCTGAAGTGTGAAAGCAATGGTGCATCCCTGGGTTCAGACAATTGCAGATTATCTGAGAGTCTACACACTGTTCTGAGAGACAGAGGTGTGGCCTTACATCCTCAGTCAAATCCTCATCAAGCTACTTGCCCTCTTGGCCTCAGTTTACCCAACCCAGTCAACTGTTAATAATACTTGCTACCCCTCTTCCTCCAGGATAGTGTAAACATTATCTTTACAACATACTCATATCACCTTATAAAACCTACGCTAGATAAACGCAAAGCATCATCATTATCATTCATTTAAACTGACTATATGACTGTAGGCAAGCCACATCAGCTTGCTGGGTCTCAATTTAAAATTCTGTAAAATGGGAAAATATAAGAGTGGAGAGCCATGGTGAGGCTTAACTAATGAGTGTTTTCAAGGCACTTTGAGATCCTTAGATGAAAGGCATTTGGAAGATCGTTATCATAGTAAACATTATTATTGACTGTTTATTGTGCCCTGTCGTGCATGAGACATTCTACAAAACACAGCAGGAGTGATAGTCCTTGCAGAAGAGTGTAATAGGTGTTATTATTGAATTTGAGTCTACAAGGAGTCCAGGCCAGTATAATACTAAGTATAAAGTACTCTACTAATAGGGCATAAACAACCTGTTGTCACGGGGTACCATTTTGCAAAACACTTCTTCCAGAGGACTCAGTGTTAAGGTGGCATTCTCAAAGAGTTCATTTAATTTCCTGTTCAGGAGCTTTTTAAGTCCAAAGTTTGTTCTGCTCACCTTGCCTCATCTAAAAAACAAGCTCATCGAGATCTTTCTGTTGGCTCAAAGAGGTCTGGTACTTTTTGTGCTAGCCAGTATACCAGGGTGGAACCAAGAGCCACACTTCACAGTGCCAACCCAAGAGAGAAAAAAAAAGTAGTCCATTGTGCCTACCTGTCTAAAACCCTCCCAAGCCAGTTGTGTAAAAAGAAAACTTGAGAAATGGCTGTAGGTTTCTACAGCATGCAATTATTTCAAGCCAACAGGTAAGATCAACAGATTCCTGGAGGACCCATGTCAGTGCTGATGTCACTGGTTCTTATTCCTTCCCATATTGTGGCCGAGCCAAAGGAACTTTGCAAATCTCCGAGAAGATTATGGGCTTCTGAATTGCTGATCATTCTTCCTCTTTCCTCCACTACCCTTTAATAGTATTTCTGATTTAGAACAGGCAGGAAAGCAGTGAAGCTAAAAACTTGCAAAGTTAGGCTTTGAAAAAGCCGGAATTCAGATTCTGGTTCTGCCTCTCGATAGTTGCATACTTTGGATGAACCTCAGGGCCAGCCTCCAATTCCCCTCTGTAACCTGGAGATAATAGCAGTACCTACCTCTGCGGGTTGTTGGGGAGAAATAAACGAGAAAATTCATGTCACTTAGCTCGTAGCACCGTGATTGGTTCATATTACGTGGTCAATAAATTTTAGCTGGTATTGTTATTGTTATTAAAGCAACTCAAGACTTTCCATGCTAAATTATGTACCATCTCTCTTGTTAATCAAGCGTCCCGCAGAGATGGTCCCTGGTACCCTGATTTTTGGTTGGTATGTGTGTCTCCAAAGGATGTGATGCCATAATTCAGATGTGTGATTCCTCCCAGCATGCACTGGCTTGGCAGCTCATTTCCAAGACCCTTTAGGAGCTAAGAATGGATTCTAGGAGAAAACAATGCTAGCCAGCTTCTCTTCCCCAAATGGCGAGCTCAGCAAAACACCATACACAGAGCAACAACCTGGCCCACCTTCCCAGCATTGCCAATGCTTCATTAGCATCTGTCTTTCCTTTCCCCTGCATCTTTCTATCCCCAACATAAATGTTGCCACCCTGGGTCTTGCAGGGCCAGACTCTCTTCCTTCTTTGTTAAACATCATGCCAACCACACACATTCCTGTCTTGCTTGCCCTACCTCAACAAGAACACACCTGCCACCTCCAGCACACAGACCAGGTGGCTGTGTCCTAGAAACTTCTTCAGCTGGTGTGGCAAGCAGCTGAGATGAAAAAATGAGGTCAGAAGGTGCAGGGGGGAATTGAGGCTGGGGAGAAACCAAAAGGCATCCAGGCCCTTTCCTGGGTCTCAGCTGCTGTGTCCTACAGCAGTGCTGCGACACACATGGTCATCTCTACTAAATTTGCAAGGCAGTTAAACCATCCTAAGCCCCTGAAGACAGCAGGCAGATGGCAGTGGGTCAGCGAGGCCTGGATGTGGCAAGTGGAGGAGCCAAGCTTGAGAAGTCAGGAGACCCAGATAGTTCTCCAGCCCCTCCCACCTTTGCAAACCTTTTACAAAACCATATGTCTCCAAAATGACTTGATCCCCAACCTGTGTCGATGTACCACCTTCTTAGTTACAGTCCTCCCCATTTCCCTGATTACTGTTTAAGGACTGTGGTCAATCAGAGCTGACTTTGTGCTGGTATTCAATTACTTTTGAGCTGTGAGGCCTCAGGCAAGTCACTTAACCTCTCTGATCCCCAGTTTCCATATTTGTGCACTGGTAATATTCATGGTGTACGTATGTCATAAGGTTACATTGAGATGATGTATGTAAAATGCTTACTATACTATGGTAAATGTTAAGTAACAAAACAGTAACAATAGAGG